AAGTTGGAATGTACTGAGTTAGTATATTGCATTGAATAATAAATTAATTATAAAAAACAAAATTGAGTTTTTAATATACAAACATCTCCAACTCATTTTCCATCTGATCATTGGCTATTTTATTCTTGTATTTTCGCCCAAATAAATTTATTTGTGGAAACTAATTTTTTTAGTAGAACCTATTGAGTTAGATATCCCACCAAGTAATAAAATATTCATTTAATAAATTCAGGTCTTAATATATACACAGACTTCCAGCTTATTGCTTCAACTAACTGTTGGATATTTTATTTCCATATTTTCCACCAAAAAAATGTATTTTTGCAAATGTAGTCACGGTAGTGAAACTGAAGTTAGCATATATTCTTACCTTCACTTAGTTACATATTAATACTTCAGAAACTGCCCTCTATAGCTACTTCCATCAGTTTCTCTTGATTCAGTTTTTCAACTCTCCCACTTGGCCACTAAACTGATAACGTTTTCAGTATGTACAACTGACAGTTCTTACACAAAAAGTTGATGACTCCAGTGTTTAAAATATGCACAGTAATTTATTGTATGAAGTTAAAAGCAAGAATAAAAAGCTAAATAACTAGGAGACAAGGAAGACAAAAAAAATTCATTTATATACCCTGCAAATGTTCTTGTACAATTTGCATTTTGTACAGTGGCACCATTTACAAAATTTATTTCCAGAACTTTACTTTCATGGCACCAGAAACTAAATCTCTCTTGAAAATGTTTTTGTTTTTAACGATTTCTAAAAATTCTTTTATATTTAATTCGTTTTTTAACTGTCTTAACTATTTCTACATTGTCCCAACCAGTGATGTGTGAAGAGTACGTCATGTACCACCAAAGTCAAATCATTCATTTTTAATATCTTGACAGCATTTTTATGCTTTTTAATTCTAAATTTCAAATTTATTCATTTCTATCCAATATAACTCTTTATGAATATACCAAATTACAGAAAACTAAAAAGGGAAATGAGGTAAGAATAAGTTTATCAAATGTTCCATCATTGTCAACAAAAATAAGTAGTGTGTTCATGAAAAATACAGGTTGTCAAATAACCTTTACTCCTCAATTAAAATTAAATAACATCATTAATGGTGTGAAAGATAAAATTGAAGTAAGTGATAAATGTGGAATACACAAAATTTCTTGTACTTGCAGTTTGAGCTAATCCCCTTGGATATGCTAGTTACCATTTCACCTTCATCTCAAAATGTAATCACTTTGCTTATGAAGTTGTTGTGGCTTTAAAAAGGCAAAGTACTATTCCACCTGTCCTGACACAACCTGACCACAGCAAACAAGACAAACTTCCTTTGTTGCTAAATATGTCAGTGAAAACTGAGAAGCAACTGAACCAATACTAGATATGATGGTAGGTTCACTATACTTTACTCTACTTCTCACCACAATCTGCTTTGAAGTCTATATTAAAACAACTGTGTACAATGGTAAATTTGACCATAAAACTTCTGGTGAAGCTTCATCCTTCTTGAAATCTTTGAATTCTGAATTCTGCCTAGTCACTGTGCATGAGCTTTAGAAACTATGTGATGTGACTTCCAAATATTTGCAACATGAAGATTGCAACATTAACATTTCAAGTACAAGAGTTAGTTTAACAATTTGAAAGAATAAAAATTAGGAAATTTTTACCATCATTTTGAAACAGCTGAAAGATCAGCAAACAGCATTGATGTTATTTACCCACAACCTTACAGTATAAAAGTCTTTTGTAAATTGGATCCACATTTTCAAATTCAACTGATATTGACTAGCAAAGATCATTACTGAGTCATACATAGGTAGTTTAAGAAGTGTTATATTTGATAATGAATAAAATTTCGACTTATGAAATCTTATTGCTGCTCTTGATGTTCTCCGATTATTTAGTGTCTTCAAATCTAGAGAAAATACCTATGTTTCAAGTTTTGGTAGTTTTCTATGTAGGAGGAGTTCACAGAGATATACTTAAACCTGATCTCACTGTATTGTTTGATTCTTCCTACCTCTGCCAATCATGTTTTGTTCTTGCGACTGCTCCTTCTATATGTAAAGCTTGTCAACAACAGTCTCCACAGCACCATGGTGACAAAAATTTGATGGTACTGTCAGTTTAGTCAGAATTGGCAAATTTGATCTAGTTAGAATGTTATTCATGATTTTTCTGGAATCTCTTTATTGTATTGATTTTCAGTGAAGTTAGTTTTAATTTTTTCATTATATAATGTTTTCACAGTGCATATTATGTGTAAATGCTGTATATACTATTACTATATATACTGTATTATGTATACTATCACATACTGTCTTGTGTTACACATACAGCACACATACGCGTGCGTGTATTTTATATATATTTAAAAAGTAATGTATGTGTGTGTGCACACTCACATGTAAGGAAAGCTCTTTAGACTTTGTTAAGCTATAGAAAATTAAATTAGGAGTAGGGAAGTAGTGGCGCCATATGGTATACAGGAAGCCATTTTTAGTTGTCATGCCGACGCATGCATGATTGTGTCGCCCATTATCACAGAAAATGTTCATATGATCATTAATGTCTCATCATATCATGAAGATTTAATGTTAGAATTGAATTTTTTTAAATTTATAGCGATTGATGGAGGTTATCAACCTAATATTATAGCTAAGGCCTATAAAAACATTGTAATAAATTACAAAGGGAAAAATATAAATTTTGGCAGATCAGGAGTCATCTTCAACTAAGACAGTTTCATTTCTCTAACAGGGTGGTTGCCCTTTGGAATGGGTTGCCTTCGGATGCTGTAGAGGCAGTAAATTTGAGTTTAAGAAAAAGCATGATAAGTATATGAATGATAAGGGCTGGCTTTAAGATTTTTTTAAAAATTATTTTAATTTAGTTTAGAGGATGGAACAGCTGAGATGGACCAACAGATCCCATGTTGTTCCAAAACATTATGTTATTATGTTAGTAGCCATTTAGTTTTCTCCATTCCATTTGCTATAGTGAAAATAGGCAGAAATCGGAAATTCACCAAGGAAATGAAAATGATACTTTTTCAGGTAACTCCCCCTTCTCATACCAGAGCCAAGATAATCTTAAGCATATAAAAAATGAAACTTAATGATACAACCATTCTTTTGTTGTATACATCATGCTCTATATTCAATTCAACAATAAACAAATCACCCTTGCTGACTACAGATGCACTGTGAATTTACAAAAAGTGTACATACAATTCTTTGAAACTTTATAATGACTGAGGTATAAACAATTCTTTTTATTTTAATGTTTGATGATAGATTCTATTAGAAACTTCTAAATAATCTTAGATCTTTAGGCAGTGTATTGACATGTTGAATAGTTTCTATGTACTACTTCTTCCTTCTGTCTAGTTTCAAACTCTGTGCTGATGAAAAACTCAGCACAGAAAGTTTTGAAACACTAACATTTAAAAGAAGGTAGAAACAGTTTATATGGAACTATTCAATATAACAAAAATTTACAGAACCTTCCATACAAATCTCCATTTCACTAGAGAAGTACAGCCTTCTTAGTCTGCTGCATTAAATATGAAAATAAACTTTACAAATTGAAAATCTAAAATTCTGATAAATGTAAAGTTAGTTTTGGTTAGATTAATTATAATTATCATTCCAACTTTGGTGTAACTAATTTCAGTTTTTGATTCATTGAGAACCAACTTTCAATTACACTGCCAATATGTTTAAATGGAGAAAGTTAAAAATCACAAATACCTTCTTTACGAAGTAGTTTCTTGTTAAGTGAATAAAATACTTCTACTTAACACAAACACACAGACATAGAAACAAACACTATGAAGATACATTAGGCATCTTATAATACTATGTTAAAGCTGCAGCAAGACAAAAAATTTTTATTTTGATATAATTTTGCTGCCTCCTGAAGTGCTAATTAATTGACCTTATTTACAAAATAAATGACAAATGTCAGTAATTAAGAAACACATCCATCAACCAATAAATTTGCCCAATGGTACCCTTTAATTCACAATGACTAACATTTTTCATGAACAATGCATTGGCAAAGCCATCATAAATTTCACTTTAAGAAACAAATTTTCACAATTAAAGAAAACTGTTGTCTTAATTTCTCAAATCTTGAACATTCTACTCATTAGGACTTGGTTCTTCGTGTGTTGAGGAACCTTTCTTGAATGGGTATTCATCTTTCGTTGGTTTATCTTCACCTGCAAAAAATAGATGGAAGAATAAGATTTTCTTCATGATATTAATTCATATTGCAGTTTAGAGGAAAGGTATCACCCTAAACAAAATCATTTCTGTGATAAGATATCCTTTGTCAACAGAGTATATGTATGTTCATGTATTTTGGCTTTTTAATAATGTCTAAAGTACACAATAAACATAACTTAACTTGGTTATATTGTCATGTTATTTGCCACTTCTAAGTTTAAAGTTTCGTTTAAGGAAAACGTGACTCAACAAATTCTGTATGTTAAAGATGGATGGCACTGCCCTTTTAATGCACTAAATGTCTTTTATAGTTTGTGAAACTAGTCACAAGACAGATAGACACACAGACGTTTCTATCTTTTTATAATATTTTACAAATTTCTTACATACATCAAGCTAGCTAACCTTTGATAAAATCTTCCAAGGGACATTTATTTTTCCAAAAATATTTTTGAAGTTCTTTGATATTTAGACAACAAAAACAAGTTTGTCAATATTTCAATGTTTTGTGTCAGTTAATTAGGTTTAAAGGTGTCACATAGTAAAGAATGTTTAAATAATAAACGTAACCATTATCAAAACTGCAGATTAACACTTGTTTGTACTTATAATGTATTCTGTTTCTACAGAATTGGACTAGTAAGAAACGATTTTTCCATCCTCAGTGATTTAATACCTGTATTTAACTGGAGTTTAATAAAACCAAAGATACTGTTCTATGCTTCCATACTTATTTTTTTACCCCTTTTTTGTAAGCAAACCTGATTATGGCCTAACATTTTAATACAGTGGCGCAAGATACTAAAAGCTAAGAAAGGCTTTTACAAGTATGTCAAAACCACCAAAAGCAATATCAATGAAAGTGTCTCTGTAGATACAATTCGAATAAGTAAAGAAGAATGTATAACAATATATAACTAAGGAACAGAAAAGAAATCCAATGCTAGTAATCAAGGAGAAACAGCAGAGATAGGATATTTTATATCTGGTATTTGATGTTATAATTATACTTTGGCCAATCTAAACCATCCTTTTTTTGAGGTTACATTGAAACTGAATACTCATACTGAGAAGTGTTTTTCTGAAATTTAAATCTGGCTGAACATCTATAAAGAGTCATTGTCCTACTATTCTTACTGTTAAATATGAAAAAAGATGATGCATCAAGACTGTCAATTCCCTTTACAATCTTAAATACCTCAATCAGATCCCCTCTAACTCTTCTTTTTTTCAAGAGAAAACAATTTGAGAGAATTCAGCTTCACCTCATATAACAACTACTACATCTCAGACACCA